ACGGCAGACCTTCGTCTTCACCCTCCTCAGCCGGCAACTCGCTCTCCTCGTTAAGAGAGGTGGCCGAGGTGTGCACCACTCCGCCGCCGGCTCCAGAGGTAGCCGCTGAAGAGCCGCCAATGGGCGACTCGACGATGGTTTCCTTGTACACGTAGCTGCTGGGGGCCTGCTGGGGCGGGGCAGCGTACTGCTGGTGAATGATCTGCTGCTGCTGGGGCTGGCTGCTGTACAGCTGCTGCTGTTGTTGTTGTTGATGATGAATGAGCTCCTGTTGACCACCGTTGGACAGACTGCCAAACTGTGGGACGGCATTGGACTGTGCTGCAGGCTGTGTCTCTCGAATAGAGCCCTCTGGAGGCGGCGGAAGGAAGGCGGACAAGGGCGGCGACGGCGGGTCAAATGGGTCAGGACGGGCCAGCGGCTGCTTGTCCACAATCTCCCGGAGACTGTCAATAGAGAAGAGCTCTTTTGCGGGCTGAGGTGGTTGCTGCTGCTGGTGCTGCTGTTGATTAAAAAAAAGTAAAAACACATTGGTCAGTAAAGCAGGGGAGAGAGAGAGAGATTGAAGGTAAAAGTAAACATGGCCTGGTTGCCGAGTTATTCAGCTGCTGCTGCGGCTACTACTTTAGCAGCGGTCGCCGGTAGCAGTCGTCTATTAATAGTTGCAGTCTGCCCGTTACTGACAGACACAACTTTGATGCAATTGAATGGATGAACGGATAGACCGTGCAAGAAAACGAGCAAAATGAGTGTAGCGGATGAAGGCCAAGTCGCTGCAGCCTCCAACGAGGACGGCGACAGAGACGACGACAGAGACGACAACGGGAATATAATTATAGAAACTGTATCGGTTAAAAACGAATCGATTATGGGAAACAGCAGTTTTCAGCCACTGTGAAAGGATTACCACCAGCGCAGCTTTTGCGGCTACTGCTACTTCAACTCTCTAGTAATTCTGAAAAAGCAAACGACGTCTTGCAGAAAGAGGAAAATGGGTTCACAAAGCATCTGCATCAGCTGTAAGCTGAAAGGGAATCCCTCCACGATGCCGATCAGCGATGCACTTGACAGTAATTACCGCAGCAACAGTGCAACCCACACTATCTTGCTCCATATCTGTCGACTCAGGTACACTCTTTCACTTCTTCAGTCAGCAAAGCCTGCAAAGATGCCTAATCTACTATCAAATTACAGTACTAGAGAGCAGCTAATGAAAGCGGCACTACCACCATCACTCGGGTGTCAGTGTCAAAGAGATGAAGATGAAGATGAAGTTCGCTCACTGTGCTCATCACTGATCACTTGAAAAGGGTGAAATGAGAGAGCTGGACTGCTTGTCAATGATTGTGTGTGTGGAGGGGGAATGCAGCAGACAGCACTGACAGGTGGGGAACAAAGTGCAGCGGCAATTCTCAGGCGGCTGTTTTGTTGTCGTTGTTGTTGTTGTTCGACTGGCTAGCATTGAAGAGGAAAGGAACTGAATGATAAACCAATTGAGGGT